CAGGTCAGACTTTTTAGAAATCGATGATCGGCCAGAAAACTGCAATCGGTGCACCCCTAATTATAACTGACAGCTAATGAAAATTCAGTGTCTCGGAAAATTAGAATATTATTGAAGACCAATTAAAAAAAAAGGGATTTTTAGAAATGTTGGCCAACTGAAAAGTATGAATATGAAAAGTATGAGCATGTTCATCACTCATTACTTAGTTGTTGCTCCTTTTGCCTGGATTACTGCAGCAATGCAGCGTGGCATGGAGTGGATCAGTCTGTGGCACTGCTCAGGTGTTCTGAGAGTCCAGGTTGCTCTGATCGTGGCCTTCAGCTCTTCTGAATTGTTGGCTCTGGTGTATCACATCTTCACAATACTCCATAGATTTTCTATGGGGTTAAGGTCAGGCGAGTTTTCTGGCCAATTAAGAACAGGGATACCATGGTCCTTAAACCAGGTACTGGTAGCTTTGGCACTGTGTGCAGGTGCCAAGTCCTGTTGGAAAATGAAATCTGCATCTCCATAAAGTTGGTCAGCCACAGGAAGTATGAAGTCTCTAAAACTTCCTGGTAGACAGTTGCGTTGACCTTGGACCTCAGAAAACACAGTGGACCAACAGATGACATGGCTCCCCCTAACCATCACTGACTGTGGAAACTTGACACTGGACCTCAAACAACGTGGATTCTGTGCCTCTCCTCTCTTCCTCCAGACTCTGAGACCTGGATTTCCAAAGGAAATGCAAAATTTACTTTCATCAGAGAACAGAACTTTGGACCGCTCAGCAGCAGTCCCAGGCGAGGTGCTTCTGATGCTGTCTATTGTTCAAGAGTGGCTTGACACAAGGAATGTGACAGCTGAAACTCATGTCTTGCATACATCTGTGCGTGGTGGTTCTTGAAGCACTGACTCCAGCTGCAGTCCACTCTTTGTGAATCTCCCCCACATTTTGAAATGGGTTTTGTTTCACCATCCTCTCCAGGGTGACATTATTTCTATTGCTTGTACACCTTTTTTCTACCACATCTTTTTCTTCCCTTCCCCTCTTTATTAATGCGCTTGGACACAGAGCTCTGTGAACAGCCAGCCTCTTTAGCAAGGACCATTTGTGTCTTGCCCTCCAAGTTTCACTTTTTGAATGGAATTACTGAAATAAATCAACTTTTTCATAATATTCTAATTTTATGACCATCACCTGTGCAATGATGACAATCTCAAACTTCCCTTACCTTTTTATTGTATTGTTGCGTAATTTTTT